TAGATCATGTCTATAAAAATGGCATGTACCCGCCATGGTCGAAAGATTATTGTATTATAGCGACAGTGAACCCAGCCGCCGAGGAAATCGCGCTCAAATGCTGAGTCCCTGGTTTAACGAACGATGAGCAAGAGATAGTTATCGTTTTTTATTGTTATGCGCAAAATGTTAGCACTACGCGTAGTTTCAGAAGTTCTGTTCTCCCATATATTTGTGCACACTTGTCTTATTAGGAGTAGGGACGTAGGTAAGAATGTAATCCTGATCAAACATTACTCTGGGGCTTTCTATCTGATATTATTTTATAGTTCTTAAAATCCTACATCCTGAAATGAGGATTCTCAACTTACTGCCAACTTCTGAATTAAGACCTATACCTCCACCGGTCGTCGTTTTGGTATGGTGTAGGTATTGGCGGCAACGCTGTGACTACAATAGACTAAAAAGTAAAATGAGAGATGATGTAGGGGGAAAGTACGAGAGACGACAGTTTAGAAATAAATAAGTAACAGAGATAAGTGAATGTGTGTTATACAAAAATTAAACCTGAAGAAACTTGATATTGCAACATTAACTATAACTGCTGAAGTATGGGACTTTGCCTAAATCTAGCAACCTATCCATAAGTCCTGTGCTCGGAAGAAAATAGATGTATAAATGTTATAGTTGGAGCAACTGGGAATGACTAGTTGATCTAGACAGCTCTACCCACATCAACAGTTTCCAAACTTAACAAGATTGGGTAAATGACGGTTGTAAACTTCGTTTTATGTTTGAGTGTATATTATTATCCCAACAAATATTAGCACTCAGTTATTTAGCCAATCATTCTTTAATCATTAGCAAAATCTAAATTATAATAAACAGATAAACTGATAAGGGATATAAAAGAACTACCAAGTGCAACAAACTAATTTTCCTATCAACACAAAAGTCTTATTTTATCCTCTCTGGATAAATCACGTTCAGACTGTTCCAAAGATAATATGTAATTTTGTTACACACAAATTGTTTCCAGTTCTGGAATAGTGCTTCAATTCATAATGAAAATTGCACAGTCCTAGTCAGTTGGAGCGAACCAGCATGATAATCATCATAACCAAAGATCAACTCAAAAAGTATAGATGTACTTCAGAAAAAGTATAATAATTGAGTAATGTCTTAAGAAAAACAAAAACTATGTTAGAATATAAATATTACCATCTCAAACAGAATCAAAAGATCAACTACATTTACACTCATAGGAATCAAAAAGAATAAATCACATGAGTGTTTATAAGGAGAGGTTTTTATATACGAACCTTTCAAAAAGAATCTTAAGACTGTTACAGTCATGGTTATCAAATTTGTCATCGCGATTTTCTACTAGCAAGGCGAATACGCAGTTCATATAGTCGAACATGTTTAAATACTCCGACATGGTGGTGGAGAATTGCATATTTCCGATTATCGATGAGAGACCGACGAGGTCACGTCAGATTGAAAGACCGCGCAGTGCATAAGACCTGGCGCATGACTAAAAAATGCATGAACTAGAAGGTGAGTCCGGGGTTTCCGCGTACGTGTAAGTTGTTTTTGAGCCATTTTGGCGGCCTACTGCTGCAACATTTAGCGAGTTCGACCCTCTGACATGAAACGTTGTTAATTATACGCTTAATATCCAAAACTTATGATGATCACTTTCGTAAATTTGTGTTTTTTGCTCAATTTTTGAGGTATTGAAATCTCTTTTTTCATATTTATTGAGTCACACAAACACTAAAGTAATGTCAAGGTGTTAATCAAGCTTTCTTGTGAGTATTGTCAGAATTTTTGCTACGTCATCAAGTCTGGTCGTTAAACTTTCTGTTAATATGATTTATTATGAGAATGGATACTGATACCTATTAGTAGACTGCTCAGTGCAAACTGACACACGTTTGAAGTAAGTCATCGTCATGATATGTATTCCTCTGATGTAGATGCTTTCCAGATATACTACTTAGTAACGGCAGCCTCACATGTTTTTGTAGACGAAAATACGAATGATGATCATCTGTTTTATCTTGACTATCTGTCTAAATAATATTCATTTGTGAAGCGTGCACTAATGGCATAGGTCACGAATTTCAGCGATTGCAAAATGTGCATTCTATGGTTATATCATTTCCAAACCGCATTTACATTGATGTGAAGGTTCCCAGTTGAAGAAAACAGTCAGTTAAATGTGTATTATTCCTTTTAAAGATCGAGCTGTCGACTAACAGTATGTTTGTTGCTCTTACATCCCACTAAAGTTCAGGTGGAGGAATATATATAGGCTATTGCAGCTCACTTTAGAATTAACAACGATGTTTGCTACCAAGCAGTTAATTTGAAGTACAAATTATCATCTGTTCCGTCATTTAAATAAACTGCGGTTATTTTTCTTAAAGTATAGGAGGCTAACCAACTGATATTGGTCTTTGTATCATAGTGAAGATCTAATCTCTCTTTGAATGTATCAACAGGTGCTAATATTACATTTCCTGCTAAAGATTTCCAGTAATTCACTACTTGGCGAGAGAAATGGAACCGCAGACGAAAACGATCTAATCCCGGTCATTGAGCTATCTTAGAATGTCCATTCACATTATTATTACTAGATGAAAAAAATATATGACAAAATTTTCAAAATAATTGTTACGTATAAGGTAAGTCAATATCAGATCACCCCGTAAAGCATGAAGGACGTTTACTGAAACCCTGTAGTTTTTTGTCTAAAATGACATTTCCTTCCATATATTCTGGAACAGCCCACCGAATAATCTTTTCATCAGTTTGACTACACATGTTAGACTAACCGGTTGATATTTACTAAGTCTCTACTCTCAGGTTTGTAGACTGGACTGATAAGTGAGTCTTTTCAATCTCTTCGCAGTTTAGACTGCTCAAAGATATGACAAACAGTCTTGCCAGTTCAGTTTTCATAATTCGGGGATGAATGTCATCAGAGTTAGATCCAAAATAAGGTTTGGACTGAAGAATAACTGTCTAGGTGAGTCACATACGCGCCCTTGCCCGGTTGAAACCAAAACAAAATGATTGAGTAAAATGACGGTTCTGAAATTCATTATAAATTTAAATGTACATTGTTTCCTAACCATATATGACCACCCAGCTATTCAACCAATAGTTGTTCAATTAATCAGATTTAAATTATAATAAATAAGGAAGTAGAGAAGGGATGTAAGAAAATTACCAATGACAAGAAATAAATGTTATTCTATCCTGTCTGGATAGACTACGCACAGATTCGTTCAAAAGATACTATTTGGTTGCTTTATAACACAAAGTGTTTCCAATTCTGGAGGTGTGCTTCAATTCACAATCAAAAACTGTACAATTCCAGTTAATACAAGCAAAAAACCCAAAAGAAGGAACAAACTAATATGGCTGCCGCCAAGACTAATTATCAAGTAAAACAAGATAAATGCAGTTCAGGAAGAAAAATGGAAACTATAATAAAATACAAATATTACCAACTCAAATAGAATCAAAAAGACTAACAAAATGTATAACTAAACTAATAAATAGGAACAAACTGTAGGTGCATACATGGAGGAATATTCACACACAAACATTCAAAATGGATCTTACAGTCAGAACCACTGGATTTATTTGGTTTGAGATGTTAAAGCAATCATATGACAGCTCCTTTCTGAACAGCTACAGGATCGATTGACAAGCATCATTGCCATGATCATATTCCTATCAGCTACGGTTTTAGCGGAATCGTGTATTGCGAATATTGGCAAAATTTCCCATACCAAATATGAGATTCCATCACTTCTTTCGATTCGTCTCTTTATATACGAAAACAACCTTTACGGACTATTTTAATGATCCCTTATCAATTGTCTTTTACCTAATTTATCAATGCCTTGTGATCATTTCTAGTATTACAAAACATTGGTTCGTACTTTTCATAGCCTGTAAAGATAAACATAACACTATGTTTATTCGGTTAATTTTAACATGCAAACTTATTCTGCTTTATGAGTGTTCTGTTTTCTGAGTTGGATTGTTTAATTCATGAGACTCACTGTCTTTCTAGATAAAATCAGTAAACGTTTTCAAGAGAAATTACGCTATTAGAATTTCAAACGGCTGAATAACACTCGTTCAGTTGATTTGAAATCTGATACTTTGTTTATGAAAGTTTCAAAACCAAGATTATCCAACTTAAGTAGAATCAGTCAGTCAGCTAAAACGTAGGACCAGGCACATATATGCATCGGTCCAAGTTGCCACACCGCATTAGCACAATAAGATGAATACTGGATTCATAGAAGAAGTTAACTCAATAGTGTAATATATAAAGGAAAGATTGCATATAAGGATATAGTACAAGAAGAAAAATATGTAGCTACTTTAATCTCTTAGTCTAAGGGAAGACAGAGTGTATAAACCTATGCCGTTGTGATCGATTCTGAGCCGTCACCCAGTCTCCAAACATTGGTTACGATAGTCACGCGAGCCCCAACCAGGTAGTCGTATCTACCCGACCGTTAGTGCTACCTTGATGTGGTGGTCGGGCTTGCCTATCGTGATGAAGCAACCGAGCCATACTGGCTGGAACAACCGTTCCTCAAGGTCCTACCATGTCAGACAGGTCGGTTGAAGAGCGGTAAGACTAAAAGCAACAAACCCAAGGTCCGAAGGCGAAGTCGTACTGCTGACTGTACATAGGTGTGGTGTTTCCTTCGGACAGCCAGCGTGACAGCGATGCTGCCTTCCCATGAAGAGGGGTGAGGTTAGAAAAGGTCGACCCTAAAAATGCACACCTCGCCTTATCCCACGGATATCTGTCTCCGGCGGTAAGGTCTCAACAAGTACGAAGCTAACACGGAAACTACTCACAGAAAGGTCATGTGTGACCGACCTTAAGCAGTTGTCTCTTGGGCACTGCGGTCACTAGTATAATAGCATTTAATCCCCATAACATTCATCCATAAAAATGAGTCAAAACACAGATACATACCAAATATAATAATTTTTATTCATTATATGAATCTATATATACAGTATATTTGACCGTTCATAATTAGTTTTTATCTATTTCTTCTTGCCCTTCATAGTTTCAGGTACACGAAGCTGAAACCGAAAGAATGAACAAACGTAAAGAGAGAACACATAAAGAACTAGGAACTTATTCAAGTGAATAATTTTTTAAAATAATCCTTAAAAAGTGTAACTTCTGACTTGAAGTAGATCAGTCAGTTGATGAGCTTCACTTGCTGATGTGTGATTGTCATATATTTTTCAGCTAAGAACAATCAATTTATTATTCAATGCGAAATTGCAGAATTGTTTCGTAACTACTTTATTCGCAAATCTCTCATCAATTGTCTCAAATTTCATCGTCTGATCACTGTTATTACAATTACTATTTGCTTACATTCCCATTCACTTTGATTCTATCTTCTCAAACTTTTGCAACTACTTTTAATTGGTATTAAATACTACTGATAATGGAATCAAAAAAATTAGGTAACGTTTTAAATTTACTGGTTCTGGATCATTGACTTATGAAATTGATACCTTTCAATTATCTAATACAATTTGATAATGGAGAAAAAAAATATAATTTTTAGAGTAGATGGATTTTGGCCAGATGTATTATATACATCTAAGATATATCCAGCTGACGAATCCCAAGTAGGATGACATACATGTATTGGATCTCACTACTAGCTACAAATTCATCTCATTCAATAAACTTGTGAAAAATGACGACATCGAAGGAATCCGCGCAAAATGACAACATATACCAACAAAGACTGATTATGATTCAAGTCAAGATTATCAACCACATGATTATTTAAATCCTTTGTAACAATTCAAGTTGTGGTATATTCATCATTAATGATTAGTTTTGCGAACTTTTATCTCCCAAATCTCATGTCATTTAACAATAGAGAAAATCTATTCTATTTGCTAGTTATATTGTCAATGGATATTGAAAACAGGGAATACAGTGAAGAGATCTACTTCCAAAGTAGAACATGACATTGTTAAATCATCTATTTGATGCTTAGTTTTGTACCACTAGCGTCATCACTAATAATGCTGATTTGTCGTTTTGTATTCAATATTATTAAACAATTAAACGTCATATCAGTTCACGAAGTAATTGATTGTCGACACAAGTCTCATTGTTAGTTAGATAGACTTTTAGATTCCAAGATCTGTGAGATAGTTGTAGCTTAAAATAACATAGTTGTACACTTTTTCCAAATCGTGAAATTAGTGTCAATGAGGTTACCACAGGACTGCATCTCCACACGATGCGCCACTGCCTTGTGGGTCAGACCTTTAGGTCAAAGGCTCGGGGTGTGGCCCCCTAAGAAAACCACCTGCTTCGGTCTGGGCACCCGGGCAATATCACAGCCCTCACATAAATCGGATGATTTATGTGGCGCATATCTACTTGGTGCCTCCTTGTACCAATATCTATGTGTTTAAATAAATAAATAAATGAGGTTGATTTGCTATCGATAAATAATAAATCATAATAATGCATTAGAAATTTTTAAAAAAAAGTGGAAAGATTTAACCTACCCATTGAGGTTGAGATTTTTTTCCAGAGTGCTTTGCTGAGTCCAAATTACGCTTAGCATTCTTAGGTGACTTGAATGATTTTTTAGCATTACGCTTAGCTTGAATAACTGTCATCAATTGTTTGTCAATTTCCTCATCGGAACTATTATTACCATCAGCTGATGAGGCTTGTTCTTCGTCAACGGAAATGATTTGGCTATTATTTTTTAAAGGTGAAGGTTTATTCTTGTTATTAACTGTGTTTTTCTGCTTGGAATCGTTTTTAACCACCTCATCGCTATCTTCAGACGCATCATCACTATCTGTATCGCCTAGATCTTCCTCATCCTCGTCATCATCATCTACATCTTCATCATCGTCCTCTTCCTCAGTACCGCTGTCATCCTCATCATACTCGCTAATTTCATCTTCATCGTCTAAATCTTCATTGTCTTCATCATCATCGTCGTCGTCGTCATCATCATCATCATCATCTTGACCATCACTATCATCCTCATCATCATCTAGTTTACTCATTTCAGATTTGGATTTCTTTTTGGGGGACACTTTCAACATTTTCGATGATACAAGATCATTTAGTACAGATGTTTTACTAGTGGTTGAATTTTTATTTTTGGTTTGATGAACAAATAATTCATCGGTTTTACTTTCATCATTTGATTCATCACTAGCTGATGATTTGAAATCATTTTCAGATTCAGGTAATTGTTGGACTAAAACTTTTGTATTACTACCCTTCTCTTTATTACCAATATCTTTTGTATTCACTGTTGTTTTCTGAATTACTATGTTAGAAGTCTTTTCCAATGATGATGATGATGGTTTATTCAATTGTTTCTCTTTCATTTTTTCCAATGATTGATCATTTTTAGATTTGTTAGCCTTTAATTGATTTTCATCATTATTTTGTTTCTGATCTATTACTTTAGAACGAGAAAATATAAAATTGACAAATATTGGTAGACCACGAACAAGTCGTTTATGTGTTGTGGAAAACGCCTCAAGTGATACATCTTCATTGACAAATTTGATAACTGCATAACTTTAAAAAAATAAATAAAAACATGTAGTTGGTTAGTGTAAATAACTTTATAGAATCCCCCTCAAAAAAAAGGAAGTCAATGAAAAGAAAATACTAAAAATAATAATATTGATGGAGTTTTGTTGTCTGAGCTGAATAGTTTAGTCGTGGAGCTTTTATCGTTCTCCTGAACGACATCATCACCAGCACAAACTTCAGGTATATGGCATAAAGGTGAAAATCAGCGCTTTTGACGCGAAAACAAGAAACTTAATTTTTTAAGATACATTTACAAAACTAAAGTATTTACCAAGTGAGTTCTGGGGATCTAACAACATCCCCAACATTTAGCCAATAAATTTCACAGATTGAAATCATGAGTCAGTTGAAGCTAGACCACCATTGAAAACCTGGAAGCACAGGACGGCCGTTTCGTCCTAGTATGGGACTCCTCAGCAGTGCGCATCCACGATCCCGCACCACGCGGGGCTCGAACCCAGGACCTACTGGCTTCGCGCGCGAGCACTTAACCATTAGACCACTGAGCCGGCATCCAACGGTGTTAATGTCTAACTTCAACCAATCCACGAAGTTGCGCCACCGTACACCATTGTCTTCAGTGAGTTCCTATCTCACAACAGACCTGGTTGAACTCCACTGGTAACGGCTTCTCACTAGAACTTCGGGAGTTTTTCCTGAAGTCAGTCAATAAGCTAAATGTTTGCAAACAACTATTAAATAGTGTACAATGTATACATTAGTTTTATGATGTATTTTGTATTGTTTAACTGTAGTATCAAAAGTACCGAAAGGTCAATCGATGGCAATTAGAAGTGACCTAAATGTTAAGTGCATTTCATTAGGGTCAATAGGTCAATTTCCTAAGTATATAGTGGTAAATATATATGAATAAGTATTTGTGAATTTTATTCAATAGTCTAATACACTTGCTCACCCAAGCAGTCAAATGGAGGGGGGGCGGTTAGCGCATAGAATACCATATGACACCACAACAATTATCCATACACATATGCGATTTATACACTTTCTTTTTATCCGTTATATAAGAGTTAGTCGATTGATGAATCTAATGTTTTTCTCCCAGATAAATAATTAATCATATACTAGAACAATCAGACGATAATTTTTGGACAACCTTTGAGCAATGCTCAACTGATCTTGGGAATATCCACTGACTCACTAGAGTTAAGTAAAAGTTGTAAATCAGTTTGAGGATTTAAAACTATGATCTATAGTTAATGGTTAAGGTTAGGAACTACATTTATGGTTTTCATCACAAACTGATATAATCTAAACTGCCGTGACGTTACGTTATTAAGCCAAGTGGATGAATGGATTCGATGCTAAAATCTAAAATCAATTATCCTCAATTTGATTGGTTCGTTCATAAATTATAGTCACACTGTTTTTAAAACATGTTAAATAACTGATCTACTCAAGGATCATTAGTGCAAAAATAAAATCAAAGAATAACCCAATGTGATTGTATTATCATACGACGTACCCGCATGTCATTCCATCTATGGTCAATGGAAAATCAACAGTGCCTTTTGGAAATATATGTATTAAATCATTTCTAGTTGTTGAACTATTGAAACCAGTCACAAAAAGTTGTGTTCGATTAATATTATCCAACTTTAAATCACTGATAGGAAATGACAAACGATTAGGTTGAGCAGAGATTGTTTTACCGGCAAATAGACGACCAGATATAGATTTTCTTGCAGCTTCAGCTGTATCCGCATCAACGTATTGAAGAAACACAAAGCTAGATAGATGGATATATATTGAATAAACAAATTTTAAAAAAAACTGGTTAATAACAAATGAAATTGTAAGCTTTTTGATGATCACCATATATTTATTTACGGTGGGCAAATACAAATGTTAGCTGACCGAAATAAGTCGACAGGATACACTAAACCTGAGTTTTGTGCTCTAACACTTTTTTTAATAAAGCATACTTGTAATTTTGACGAAATTGATATTACCTGTGATTCGAAAGTAGTCAGTTACCTCCAAACAATTGGAAAATTAACACTGCACACAATGTCTAGTCACTTAGACTAATGATTATATTGAGAGAGACTTAATCGATATAATTCAACCAATGCTTAGGAGATTAGCAACATTAGTCATTACTCAGTGTTTAATCAACAACTCTTGAAATAACCACGTCAATAAGAATGTAGGTTATATAGATTAGTAATTCATGACAAAACATTCCTAGAAAAGGTAAGAATGTGTTGAAATTCTAGAGTAGGGTAAAGAGTGTTTTATAGCCAAATAAATGAATACATATGAATCTAGTTCTTTGATTTCAAGTATTAAGAACCTTTGAATTATCTTTGAAAGATCACAAATCAGTCCTTTCTATGTCTATTAGTTTTAAGTGTCTTAATATAGAAATATTGACGGGTTTTAATTAGCCCCCAAATGCCATGGTAAGGCCGAGAGTGGGGAGAGTCAGCTCTCCCTCTCGAAATGCTCTCACATGGCCACGCGTATATAGTCTCTGCCAGGGAAGTCCTACTAACTACCTTCTCGCACCATTAATGTTGTTTACGAAATTGAGAGGACGAAAAGCGAATGTCCGGCGCTTTAACCGGGTTGGTGGACATGGAGAGTCCACCTAGATGAGTTGGAAAACCCTCATTCCAAACCAATAATGCACATGATCTCTAGTATCCTGAAGGAACAAATGGCGTATGAACCAATCGTTGGTCACCGGCTACCATGAGATTGCATCTCCTTGCGATGCTCCACTGTCTTGTGGACCAGACCTTCATATCGAGGGCCCCGGTTGTGGCCCCCTAAGAAAACCACCTGCTTTGGTTTGGGCACCCGGGCAGTATCACATCCCTCACATATATCAAATGAGATTTGTGTGGCGCATATGTATTTGGTGCATCCTTGTACCAATATCTATGTGTTAAAATAAATGAATAAACAATTAGCTCTTTAACATGATCATTGTGTTTTGAATGTTTCGTAAACTTAAAATGATAAGTTGAAACTTTATAGCAGCATTTGAGTTAATTAACGGAGAACCAATACTTGTTATAGAAAACTAGGATTCATAAAGTATTTCAGTGACAATATTTCACTTTACACCAGATATACTATAAAATGATACTGTTTGATTAAATATATTGAAAATCTGTCAATACACTCTCAAACCTTTTTGTTGATAAACTTGTGTCAAGTCACAAACAAACATGATACCCATTAACCTTGAAGATAGACTTTTTCTCAAGGATGAACAGCATTTGCATTTGGTATTAGTTGTCTTACCTGTTGGGTCATGCAAAACTCAGTTATGAGTTATTCAATTTAACACACTAAATGTAACTTTCTGCACTTCACTATGGACTGAACAATTGGTTTATGTAGATAATTACACTGTGACATGATTAAAATCGGTAGGTTGATCGGAATTGGATATTCAACATTTTAGAAGATAATAAAATGAAAGCATCTACTTAACTACAACCTAATTATTCACCAAATAACATAGACTGATAGTCAACAACTTCATGATTCGGTAACCCTTAGCTATCTTCCAACCTATTCCGACATCAACTAGGATTTTCTATCGAAACAGATGGCGGTTTGACATGGGTAACACATCTGTATTAGTTGATAAAGCTTCATAACTTCACTAACTGAGTAATTATTGACATCTCACACTTTATAGTTAAACATAGCAATACTCATTACATGTTTCTACCAAATGAGACGAATGCCTTGAAAACGTGATTGAATTGCAGTGTAACCTACCATGAAGGTCAAATTTTACAACCATAAAATCAGCCAGATTACTGTCATATAATTTTATACTACTCACAAACATATACTTAAAGCTTGCTTTATCGTGAGAGTAGTTACTAAAAAAAAAGGAAATTACTCTGAAATACATTCACACGTAAATAAAGACTTACTCTCGAATCCTTTTATTTTTCCTTATTGAAAATCGATATGACATCATACTCGGTGACAATGATTTCAGCATAGACTCGTTATGATCCGGTGGTAATGGACTCACATGCAACGTAGCAGATGAAAGTTCAACTAGTGAAACGAAAAAAAAACCAAATTAAATGTAGACGAATGAACATGAACATACACAGAACACATAATTTGAAGAAAGTTCCATTAATCATGCGAAAATACGTTTATTTATATGCAGACTTCAAAATGTCTTTATCACAGCAAAATATAAATTATATAGCTCTGTTACTCTACATACATGATACGTTTATAGCAAATCACTAACAAAAATAACTTGCCAATTTGGAAGGATTATATGAATTTGAGGCATATATTTATTTATTTAAACACATAAACATTAGTATAAGGAGGCAGTAAATAGATATGAGCTACGTAAATCATTCGATTTGTGTGAGAACTGGAATACTATCCAGATGCTCAAACCGAAGCAGGTAGAGTTTATTAAGGGGCCGCACCCTGAGCCTTTCACATAAAGGTCTAATCCACAACGCAGTGGAGCGACGTCAAGAGATGCAATCTCATGGTAGTCAGTGACCAACAATAGAATCATACGCCATTTGTTCCCTCAGGATACTAGAGGTCATGTGCATTATTGGTTTGGAATCAGGGTTTTCCAACTCCACTAAATGGATCCTTTATATCCACCAATCCGCTTAAAGAGTCGGACATTCGCTTTTCGTCCTTTTGATTTCTTAAACAACAGTAATGCAGCGAGAAGGCAGTAAATAAGACTTCTCTGGCGGTGACTGCATGCACGTGGCCATATGAGAGCATTTCTAGAGGAATAACTTACTCTCTCCATTCTCCGCCGTCATCATCATCTTAAGTTATTAAAAATTCGACGAAAGTACTATCAATAAATCTTGACATTAATTAATTTATAAGCATAATTGAACGGAGTTCCATAAAGGATAAGGTTAATGAAATTACGGATATCATTAGATATATCATATTTGGCTTTTTAGATAGAAGTTAACTTGATCACTGTTAATTAATATATTAAGACTACAATCTATATCTTTACCATCATAATTGAGAATTGAAATGGTTCGAGAAATGTGGATTGATAAATCTATATTTGCAAACGTGTATATGTTATTATGCAACTAACAGCATGTGATCATATATTTTCTTAATTGTCTTATAATATTATGCAATGTATATTCTCTATAGAAATTTACACATTCATAACTTACTTGCACGTTTTTTGATTTCCTCAATTATAATAGATTCATTTTTCCAACTATATGACACAGACACTTGATGATCATCACCTTTATCAAGAGGTTTTACGATTGATTGCTAAATAAAGAGAATGAAGAATAAAAATACAAGCAAAAAGCAACCCGACTAAATGGGAAATTCAATATGTGGGTAAGAATTAAGATTTTTTTTAAAAAACTGACGCGGAGCAGAAAATTATTTCCAAGTTTAGATTCGTAAATTTGAATTTTTTTTCATTTCTACAACAATTATCGAGGGATAAGTCTACTTCCGATTGCGTCCAAACTATTGGCTGCCATCATACTTCGTAGATTGTTCACAACCCAAGACTGAATCGCGAGGAGCAGATTGGTTTCCGTTCTGGTCGAGGATGTATTGATTGTATCTTTGCCCTTCACCAATTGTTAGAACATAGTCATACTTATTACAAGCCGACAACCGTGGTGTTTTTTGACATTAGAGCCGCCTTTGATTCGTTGGACAGAACTGTGTGCTGGGACTGTCTATTGAAGAAGGGTGTGCCTGAGAAGTTTATTAACATCCTAAAAGCCCTATATACAAACACTTCAGACAGAGTAAGTGCATACAACCACCTCTCTTCATTGTTCCATTCGAGCAGTGGGGTTAGACAGGGTTGCCCAATCCCACTATTCCTCTTTAACTTTGCCATCGACGACATTCTGGAAACAGCTCTGATGGATGTAAGTAATACCGGTGTGGATCTGTTGCCTGGAGAAAAACTTCTCGACCCTGAGTATGTGGATGGTATTGTCTCACTGTGAGGTGATAGCCAAGCCATGCAGTCCACATTTATTCAGTTGGCAATTAGTGTCCGTAGGTATGGTATGTGCTTTGCACCTTCGAAGTGCAAAGTACCTCTACAAGACTGGCAGGATTCCAATCCTGTACTCACCCTGGATGGTGAGCAGATAGAAGTAGTCGAGAAGTTCGTGTATCTGGGTAGCTGCATAAGTGCTGGTGGGGGTGTGAGTGATGAGATCAATTCACGAATAGTGAAAGCCAGAGCGGCTTATGCCAATCTGTGCCATCTTTGGCGCCTTCGTGATGTTAGTCTGGCTGTAAAAGGTCGGATTTACAACGCATCGGTGAGAGCAGTTTTGCTCTATGCTTGTGGAACCTGGCCTCTCCGAGTTGAGGACGTTAGACGACTCTGTGTTCGATCATCTCTGCTTCCGAAGGATTGCTGACATCTAGCGGCAACACTATGTTAGTAATGCAGAGGTTCGGCATTGTGTGTTCGGGCACAGCAACGATAATTCAATTGGTGTCACTATCTTGAAACACCGACTTCGGTGGCTTGGACATGTTCTACGAATGTTGTCCCAGAGAATTTCACGTCGTGCATTATTTGTAATGTTGAATAAGACACAAGATTAAAACGTGTAAAAATGTAAAATATTTTCAAGCTATCAAAAGGTTTATACCAAATCCATTAAACAATAGACTTTATAATGTTAATCAAACCTAATGAAATTTCATAATTATTATATTTAATTGTAAATAGATTATTGTGTAATCAAAGATGCAAATTGTTTTCAATCCGTGATTGACTTTCTGTACAGATGAACCATAGTTTAGTAACCAAATGCAATTCATTCATAAAAGCCGAATAAATATATTTAATAATAGTAAAATGTGATTGAATTATATACAGTGCTCTATTATTGAGGTTTTGTAAAAATTGGGGTGAACTTCTGAACCTTAATTATACAACACAAGCAAACGTGGTTACACGGTTTATAACAGACTTTTTTTAAGAAGGATTGAGAAAGTAATAATTTCATTATCACGTTCTGACGGTTCTCATAACTCATGAAGTAAACAATAGGGGGTACAGTAAATGAGAAGATGAATTACATGGAAATTTTTCGTGGTCATTAAGATCAAGTAAAGTAGTTTAAATAGACTTTTCAGATATGTTGTTATTTAAGAAAGCTACTGTAGCGATATTGATGACAGCATTTGACGTACATATCCGGCTGGAACATATATATGTCTACATGAATTAGGCGACTAAGAAAACCTGTTACAAAGACAAGGTATCTAGCAAGAAATTAAGAAGCATAAGTGACAAAGAATGGGTATAATTAGCGAAGAAATATACTTGATCAGTTCACATACAAACTTGATTTCTAGTCAATGTTTCAGACCAGAGATTCGATTTATTCTATCTCAGATTGGGCAGTATAACTAATTATAACATAATTTTCCCACGTAACCCAATATAATGATTACCATGTATAAAAATTAGCAAATAATAATTTCCTTTTAATGATCCAAATAATGAAAACTTGCAGAAGAAGAAAATTACCTTTGACTCTCCAACTGTTTTCATTTTCTTTGCGGACGTTGGAGTGTTTTCAACAGATTCTAAAAAGACAATAAGCCGACGGTAAGTTTAATTGAATAAACGGGCGAAATATGTGAAGTATATTCATTATAAATATTGGTTGCTTGGATTTTCCCGTTGATGTTTAGGACTACAATTGATCCGTCACTTTTAGTATATGTGGGTCCTGTGCGGATTGTCTTGATATTGCCAGTAAGTCACAAACATTTTAGGTGAAGATGAATGGTGACTGGCGGTGGATTTCAGAACGCGCGCTTCGTTCCATCTGGAACTCGAACCCAGCACCGTCCCATTACCCACTTAGCTACTGAGTCCAGATAACCACTGGAAGATTCAAATAACCAACGAACGTGAACTAAAATTTACTCTGTTGCATAACCCAGTGGCTATCTGAACTCCGTAGCTAAGTAGACAATGAGACGCCGTTAGAAGCAAACGGTACTGGGTTCGAGTTACAGAGTGCAGGTACATCTAGCTGGCGAATACCAAACAGAACGAAAGGCGCGTCCAGGATTCTACTATTAGCAATCATTCATCTCTGCCTTAAAAGTACATTGCATTAGTTTAGAAGACAAAAGTGGAACCGCACTGAAGGCACTTTAAGCGGTATGAATTTTTTATGCATTCAATACAAATTAGCTACACGTACTACACATGTTGTAAATTTATCAATGCTTGAAGCGAGAACTACGGCTCGGTGTAAAATACAAGTTACCTAATGTCTCCGACCGCAGATCGCGACCAGGCGGCCAGTATCCACGAATTTGGCCCGGATCGACAGTCTTGAGGGAATTAAAAAACTAATGTTACGTTTTGGTCTAGCTGACCCCAAATGTGTTCCAGCCTACTCCAGAACCAATGTCAGTTGGAATAGGTGGTCTTATCTTGCATATAGTTTGAAAACAACAATATTTGAAGAACCCTTTAAAGTAAGGGAATAGTGAACAGATATTTGGATTTACTATGGGTGTTGATTCAATTGATGCAAGTTGAATCTACTTTAAAACTGTATTTAGTAAACTAATATTGTATAGCGAACTTTGTTTATTGTATAATGAGTGGAGCTCTATAAATAAAATTTGACAAAATTCAATAACTAGTACTGAGCAACTGTTTACTGAATCAATTTACTTCAGATACTTAACAAACGATCAGCAACAATGAAGTCAACTAAGACAAAGCGACGTAGGAAAATTGCAGATCTTTGGAAAATACTCAAGTATTCAAGCATAACGTGCACATCCTGAAAACTGAGAGTATTGGAATCGACCAGTGAATACATGAACACTACTGAGGTGTTCCAAATAAAACGAGTTATTCGAGTTACATTAGTAACGGATAGGTTTCTATCTTATTCCAGTTCGAGATTGAATATTCGACAGTCGAAATGTGGATAAAACATACCACGAGTTCGTTTTAGAGGTTTCTTTTTCGGACCACTGATTTTTTGTTTTGAAGTATCCTTAGTCATTGGTTTCTTCTGAGATTGTATCAGAGTATTCAGCTCATTTTCGCTTAACTCTTCATCTTCATCTTCTTCAGATTCCTCAAGGTCATTGTCTGAAGACCCCGAATCACTTTGTTCATCATCATTGGAATTAGTGAATGATCTTGTGACATTTTCTTCACTTTGCCATTGTTCATCATCGTTATCTGAATGGTCGTTTGCACTCCCCCAGTCAGCTTCAATAGGCTCAGAATCACTCTCACTGGATGCTTCACCAAACCCGGCTCGTTTTTTGTTTGTTATTTTCACATTGGAATTTGTTAAAACAGAAGCTTTCTGTTGTTGTTGTTCTTTTAAAAATCTTCGCTTTTTACTTTTTTTACTCTCATTGACTTTTATAGAAGGCATGTTGGATATGATTGCATTTGTTCCTTCCAAGTTCTTTTTAAGCTTCTTGGCTTTCTTGCGTCTTGCTCTTTTGTTTTGTGAAGTAGGAATTAAAGGAATAGTTTGACTTTGTTTCTTTTTATTTCTGCCCTGAAAGTAAAAAATCGCAATTTTTACAAACAATAAAGATACGTAATTTCTCATGGTAAACAGAGATAGCGCATAATAATAATAATAATAACACGCATTACCTTAGTTATGTATTTGTTTCAGCTGTTACACTTCGTGTGGATAAAAAGGGAAGAAATTTACAAATCTATAGAGAGCATGTGCATTAGCCACATCCGTTGATGAAACTACATTAATAGGTTAATGTAGGACTAAACGGTGATCATAAGTACGCTCAAGGGTGAAGGAAATTCGCTCTCCTTGGTAATGCTGTTTGTTGAGTCGCGTGAAACCATACTTAAACCTCGTCAGATGTTGCAATTTCGTTCTCATCTGAGGTTTGTTGGTCAAATTTGGTGGATTATGGATGCAGCGATGGGCATTTAGTGTACGAAACATCATGAAGTTCATGCAAACATTATTTATACTTCGCAACATTTGTTTAAAGTATTTTTACAGGATATGCAGTAGCATATCTGCACCAACTTTAAGTATAAATTTTCTAAACATTACGAAATATATAAAGATAGTAAAAAATTAATGTCCGAATCAATGATGAGAAGCTTCATAGGACGTACTCCTAACGAGTTAGTTGTTTCGTTAAATCTATGTCATCTCGAATACAATGCCCATAGTATGAAAAATAACGGAAGTAACAAAAACACAGAAAGACTACATAGTTTAAGTGTTCCTTGGATGAGGGAAGAAAGAATACAGGCGTATCAACATACCTTGAATACACCTGAAAGTCACATATTGTCAGATCATACCGAAAATGAAAGCGTATCATCAAATTTGCTGTAAGTAACCAGCTTACTTAATAACACTCTCCTAATTGCGACAAGGAGTACTAAAATGTTTGTCGAAGCTGAATTCAACAACTTAATTGGAGTTGAGGGCGTGTATATGCAACAATGCAGGGCGATAATCAGTGATGAGTGTTGAATCAGAACACTTCATCCACATTATTTCGTGAAATAATAATGTGAGTAATGTAAGTACAACGACTACTGTGTTCAAGATAAAAAAACCTTAAAAACACAAAAACGGACGAAAAAGCTAAAAACCACCGCGAGATAACTATGTTGCTGTAAATGGAGGGTGGAAACCCAATGAGAAGTTATCTCATGTGGAAATCACCTAAATATCAGTATATGGCAGCTACTCCAAGCCTTCTTCACAAACACAATAATGAGAATTTTATTCTGTAACACTAGTTTTAACTGTTATTTTTGGTTGATCAACAGTAATGGTAATTCTGTTTGAGATCGTTGAGTTTTATGTGGTTACCTATAGTACATGGTCATAAAGTGATCTAAACTACTGACAAAGTACACATTAATGTGTACGGCTATGAGATACAAGGTTTGTGATGGCCAGTGGTATTTCCCAGTCATTGAAACCGAGGCCCTACTATGGGTTGAACTTGTAACTAACTGATTGGAATTCAAGCCCTGAAAATTAGACTACCGAACTACATTGTGGTTAAGTGTATAATCAACTTAGTTTGAGAGTAGTTAATGAGAACGTTAATCAGTTAAAAGGCATACTGGAATACTAGTTCCCAAAAGAAGTTCGTCTAAATCTAAAAGAAATGATGCTGCAACAAAATCACTTGAGTCTAAGAATTACTCTGGGTATAACTCCTGCCACAACACAAACGATATCTGTTTTCAGACGTAACTCGTACGATTAATGAAGCCATTCGTCTATAGCGGTACATTAGCAAGTTAGTGAAATCTATTAAACATACCAAATATTTGGGGACAATAATTATTAGATTTCGAGTAACGCAAAGGAACAACGGACCCATTTACATTTATTAATCCAGCCTGTAAACCCACATTATTTTGATCAACTTGTTTATATCAATGTGGATGACAGTGCACTAAGGTTATTTAGCTCAATTAGAAGTGATTCAGTAAACCTTGGATATCAAGAAACAACTTCCACGTGTTGTATATCCGTTGTGAAGACAGTCACTGCGAAATCAAGCATTGGTTACGAAAAGTAACACAAACACGACTGAAACGTCTGATTCCCCATACTAGCGGGAACTAAATGAAGTAATGGAAGTTTGTTGACAATTGTATAAGAATTTAGACTTGCATGTAGCCAAAATCTAGTCATATTGATATAATGAGGTCTTCTCTCTTAATACTAATAATACTGCCCTAATATCAAAACTATCAGACCTTATCACGAAGGCAGCTTTTTATTGGCTTACGTTGATTAACCCTCAGGGAAAATAGGCTGCCAACTAGAGATCTCCAGCTCTGTCGAGTTCTATCATTTAATTCGTACTTTTGATGTGTCTGCAATTTCTCTTGAGCTAGAAGCTGGTTCGTTTTTCGATATTAGGTTATTCCTGATGCTATTAGGCATACAACTACCACCACAGAAGTCTTACGCATTACCTCGCGGCATCGAAAGGACGAAAAGCGAATGTCCGACTCTCTAAGCGGATTGGTGGATATGGAGCATCCACTTCGGGGAGTTGGAAAACCTTGATTCTAAACCAATAATCCACATGGTCTCCACTATCCTGAAGGAACAAATGGCGTGTGAACCTATTGTTGGTCACCGGCTACCATGAGACTGGATCTCCTGACGTCGCTCCACTGCGTTGTGGATTAGACCTTTATATGAAAGTTTCAGGGTGTGGCCCCTTAATAAACTATCTGCTTCGGTTTGAGCATCTGGATAGTATTCCAGTTCTCACACAAATCGAGTGATTTACGTAGCACATCTATTTACTGCCTCCTTATACTAATGTTAGTGTTTAAATGATAATAATAAAGAATAAAACAGCTTGTAGATGACTACTGACCTACAAACCTAACTAGAGAAATAGATAAGTAATCGCTTAAAATCGCAAAACCTCCCGATTTCAAGGTTAAATAGGATTTTACGGAACGGTTCCGCTCGACTAACTTTCTCAATAAGATAGATTGTAGCTGTTCAAAATAGTGGTGTCTGTCCAGTATAAACAGGTTTAGCAAGGAATTTATAGTGACTTACTGAGAACTTATGCACAAATATTAGGGCCTAAAAGTGTCATTCATGACAGGGATATTAATACTTGATGCCTATTAATTGTCAAAACTTTAAAATTTCGAACCTTTTGCAGACGTAACTGCCTGGGAAATAATAAGTAATGACGTCCAAAAAATTCAACCCCAAGCAAATTATGATTATTCAGTTCGTTATTTATCCCCAAAGTTGAAAGATGAATTGCAATGTGCTAATAAACACCGGTAACAGGGATTCAAAAGTACTCTACCCATGGAATAACTTTTCTACAAATCCAACGCAAAACTAGAGAGATAATCTGAAGATGTGATTTGAAGAGCACTCATTGCTAGTGAAGAGTTTTGAGAGTTACAGTGACTTTCCAGACCCTTCGAGTGCTCTGATATCTCGACTTTTATACCTCTAACACGAACTACCTGCAATGCCAGCGAATCATAGTGCAGGCACTAATAATCTTGATGTCCACTAGTAACCAGTACACTTTTGAAAGCACATATCTTTCGCGCATACAGGAACACAAAAACGTAGTAGTGACAGTAAGTCGTGACTTAAAAACAACCGTGAATTGCAACACAGCAACCGCTAAAGTTTCCGAGCATTACGGTCACTTCGCATTTCAAGGCTTTAACGAGAGGATGTTTCGAAGAATATATACTACCCATGTAAAACCCTAACTACAAAACTGTATCCAAACAGCTGACCCATGTCTTAATAAGGATAATAACACATTAGGGCGTGGGAACAAAGTTAGTGAAAAGTCTAACAACTTCCTTATGATGAGCTCTCACAACGCCTGAAACTTTTCCCCGTATATTATTGTAGAAGGCGGAGTGACGTTGTATAAGAATTACGAACCATTTATAATGATTAAGGTATCAAAATATTTAACGTTTTTGCTTCCCCAGAACTAACCATCTCCAAGATCACAACAAGGACTAGAAAAGCGAAATCTAACAAACTCAGAATGAGGTTTCGTTTCCCTATAGAGCAGTAAATGACTGAAACGCCTTAACCAAACAAGTGTTCTCAGGCCCATCAACGAGCATTGATGGGGAGAAGCTGGATCTTTACTGGAAAACAGGCTACAAGGATTAACACACGTTCAGCGACCTACTATTCCTAATGCTGAAGAATGTATGAAGTTACTAACAGAACTTTTCGACCAATAATACAATAAGAAAGGTTTCCACTGAAAATGACAAATCTCGAAAACGTCGAAGAACACATCACTCACCATTATCGCGTGTAATATCAAATAAAGCGCTGCGTGCAAATGGCCATTCTGACTGTTCCATTCAACGTTTTGCTGGTCAATGGATTATTGTTTTTTCAAATTCACTTCAGTTTCAGTTTCAGTTTCAGTTTGAGAAGGACAGGAGGCTCGATGGTCTATGTTAGTCCTGGCAATGGTGGTCTCTCAGTTGATCCAACTTTCTTTTGAAAGAGTCGACGGATGGAGCCTCAACCACGTGCTGAGGTAGTGAATTCCACTCGTTGATGATTCGATGGGAAAGTCGATAGTCAGCTGACAAGTAATTTGTTCTCGGCTTATGAACTTTTTTGGAGTGTCCTCGTAAATTCTCTGTTTTGGAAGACAAGAAAAATGAGGGCATGTTAGGTGCAAATTTATCACTAAGCAATTTGTAGACTGTAATCAAGTCGCCTCTAGTTCTGCGATATGACAACGGGAAAAGGTTCAACTTGGCCAGTCGAGATTCATACGGAAGCTTCGCTATTGCGGGAACCAGTTTAGTCGCCGTTCTCTGAACCTTTTCCAGAAGCTCACTGTCTTTTTTAAAGCAGGGGCTAGCCGCTTGTATGCAGTACTCAAGTTTAGGACGAACGAACACTGTATACAAAGTCAAAAACGTCTTAGTGTTGACATGACTAAAAGCCCTACGTGTTGACCATAACGTTCTAAAACTTTTGGCGGCTATTGCACGGCAGTGTGCAGTAGTCTTTAAGTCTTGACTAACGATAACTCCTAAGTCATTATATGTCTGGACGACAGGTAGCTCAGTGTTATTCATCGTGTATGTATCTGTGCCTTGATGACCGATATGCATCACAACACACTTGGAAGTATTTATCGGCAACTGCCATGTTTGAGACCATTCAGATAACTTCTTCAGGTCATTTTGGAGTTCTAAGCTATCACTCTTACATCGTATCGTTCTCCATATCTTGACATCGTCAGCATATAGCAAGACCGATGATGATAGGAGACAAGGAAGGTCATTTACATACAAGAGGAATAGCACTGGCCCCAAAACTGTACCCTGGGGCACTCCACTAAGCACAGTTTCCCAGCTAGATAACTTTGAGTTCACCCTTACTCTTTGTTGACGCCCAACTAAGAAGTCTTTTATCCACATCAATAAATTACCTCCAATCCCGACATGTCTTAACTTATATAACAGCCTGTTGTGCGGAACTTTATCAAAAGCTTTACTGAAATCAATGAAGGCGACGTCTACAGGTAGCTTTTGGTCCTTAAGTGCACACCAGCTTTCACGAGCCACTAATAAGTTAGTAAGATAAGAATAACCTATTCTGAAGCCATGCTGCTTGTCCGAGAGGATCCGGTTTTTATCGAGATACTGTAGTGTCAGTTATTATGGCAAGCCTGTTTTTTTTATATGAGTGTATATGAGTGTACACTTCATGTCCCATGATTCATTGTATGTCTGTAGCTTATTTTGTTTGACTATAAATACTGAGTAACGCTTAATTAAAAGGGAGTTGGCTTCCCAGCCATCTTCCATACGTGTCAAAATTGCTTTGTTATGGCTCTCGCTCGCTTTGCATGCGAAAGGGCTACCAAAAGTGGTAAGCCCGCCGACGACGAACGCAACGCAGCAAGCTACGTCGATGAAGGCACTTCTGCACTCTATACGTTCGACGAACATATTCAGCGAAGCCAGCGCAATCTCCAATCCGACGCAATCAGCACAGCCTGTGCAACATGACATGGACATGCTCAAGTCGTATTATCTTATCGATACTTTGTCCTCATGTCAATTATCCTCACTGATACATTTTTCGGATTGTTCCATTACGATTCAAATTATCATTATATGCTTATTATTACATTATTATCAATATCATGACCGAATGTGGAATTATTAATCATGTTCATGCTGTCATTAAATTATGACATTTTCGCAATCATATTACTCACTGAAAAAATTATCATTTTATGGAAATTCCACTCTACGTAATGACATCTAAAACTCATTGGAATATTTCTATTCAAAAACGTGAAATTTTCCTGCTTTAAGTGAGTTCGTTCCAATTTTTTTCATGTCATTTTGATCTAATATTACATTCATTCACTTAGTCGAGGTCCGCAATTTATGTTATCACAACATACATTTTTCATTTCGAAATCGCCTTCTATTATGTCTGTGGATGCTTCTGACTAGCTGATTAGTAACCATTACGCTCATTTTATCTATTCTTCCACGTGCATAACTACATTCTGCATCACTTATCACTCCAAAACGCTATTCGAGTACTGCAACTACTATTCTATTCTATACCCATCGCTCGGTATATCAGAACATAGAGTTTAGAGCTAGCCTCTTAAAGATACACTCTTGTTCGTCACATCCAAGTCAGTCTCATACGTCGCCATCACTAATCATATGTATTGGTATTTTTGTCATGCCTTGGTACGGTTTTGTAACAAACGAGATCGAGCGCATCTCCCTCAAACCACACAAACCATTCTAGGCTTCATGACCAAAAAGGAATACGACTCTATGTACCTCGTCTACTCAGTCACTATTCTGTTCCTCTGGTCATTCTACTAATACATATTCAACGATAACTCGATGCATCTGTCATAACGCAGACGACAACGTTCACTGACTTCAAATTTTATGATTATTATCAATTGCAGTACAGCAACGAATATCACCCGTCGGTGCAGATATTTCACGACTTTCCTATTATCATCCTACGCATTTGAATTCGAATTCACTCATCACTAGTCAATGCGATTTATTCTGCTGCGGCTCAACAGAACATATATTTCGCATATTTCACTATTTTGTCAGCATCACAGACCAATATCTGTCGTATTCTACTCTACTTATTTTCACGATTTGTTTCGCTGTCATACCCACAAACAGTTTATCACTACTTTCACAATATTTTGAATCGCTCATACGAACGTGTTATTTTATTGTTCAGACAATCACAGCATTAGTACATGTAAATTTTTTGTACGCTCATTAATTTGCTCATATTCGCATATTAACGTTTCCATTTTTGTCCGCGCCTTTTCTATATTCATGTATTCTTTTACATAAGTATGACATTTTCATATAATACGCTCACCCCTCATGTGACACTGTACTTTATCGAGTGTTGTACAATTTTTTTTTGGCTACTTAGTATTAGCGTTAACTTCATATCACTTCAGTGTTATTTTCGAAAACAGACATTTTTTAAATGTGCTATTTTCTACGAGGGGGCTATGTAGTGTCAGTTATTATGGCAAGCCCATATACCTTTATTCTAACTTCCGGACATCCTATTTTATTCATTTTACTTGAGCCATATATTGACCTTGTCAATTATTTGCTTGTCAGTCTTGACTGTTTTTTATATGAGCGTATATGAGTGTACACTTCATGTCCCATGATTCATTGTATGTCTGTAGCTTATTTTGTTTGACTATAAATACTGAGTAACGCTTAATTAAAAGGGAGTTGGCTTCCCAGCCATCTTCCCTGTGCGTCATTTTGCTTGGCTCTGTTTCATTCACTTCATATACAAAATATATGTATTCAAATGCCATTCTCGTTAATTGACTTATTTAATTCCGTTATGGACTAACGCGATCTAAGTCGACGATGATATACGAGAATCAGCGATAGCAAACATCATGTACACTCTAAATAGGAGTCAGATCAACGGGCTACTAAAATACTTAAACAGCTCCTTCCGAATAATCTTTTCTAATATTTTAACAACCACACTAGTTAGGCTAACGGGGCGGTAGTTCTCAGGTTTGTGTTTCGTGCCTGTTTTGAAGACAGGACTTACTATGGCGTTTTTCCAATCTTTCGGTAAGCGACCCTGCGTAACGGATAGGTTAAAGCATGTACTTAAAGGGTTCGCAACGAAGTTAGATAATTCCTTCAGTACCCTAGGATGTAATTCATCGGGCCCCGTGGATTTACCTATATCAAGCTTATTTAGCAGACCAAAGACATCGAGTTCTTTAATGGTCACGCTATCCAGTGTATGTATGGGGGGATCTGTATACGCTGACGAGAAGGGCGCTTCTATGGTATACACGTTGCTAAAGTAGTTCGAGAACGCTTGAGCCTTACCAAAGTCGTCCTCCACTAATGATGAAGCAGTACTGTCTCCTCATAGAGCAGGAATATTTCCTTTTCTCCTTTGGTTTATATAGGAATACAAGCGTTTAGGACATTCTATGGATTCCTTAACAAGTTTTTCTTCGTACAATTTTCTAGACTTACGGAGGGTCGAGGCACAAGTGTTCCGAGCCTTTCGATACTGAGATTTTGACTCATCAGTCCCCAGTAACCTAAATCTATCCCACGTTTTCTTTTTCTTACGGAGAAGGATACGGACCTCCCTACTGAACCATGGTGGTGAGTTTTTCGGCCCCTTTGGTATAGTCCAAGGGATGTGAGGTGTGGTAACTTTTAAGTATGATTTTCGAAATGTGTCCCAGGCCGTTTCAATGGAGGACTCTGGGTCTATTGTCCAATCTATTAACGATGCTGAGTGCATGATGTCTGGTATGTTTGCTTTCCAGACGTTGGGTCTGGACTGGACTGACGCGTCCTCATGACTGGCAGTTATATGGAAGTCGAAAGTTAAAACTGCGTGGTCACTTTTACCTAAGGGTGGCATATGGTGGAGGTTCGCAACATCATCCTCATAGTGAGTCAGTATAAGATCTAATAAGGATGATTCAGTGTCCGGGTCGTACCTAGTCGCTTCTTTCACATGTTGCACCAGGGCACATGTGATAACCGCATCAACTAGTTCCTGCTCAAAGGAATTTTCTGACGATTCAGTTCGCAGATTTTCCCAGTCTGCCATTGGTGCATTAAAGTCCCCTAGGATAAGACATCGACCACTTTGGGACCAAGTATTGAGACTGCTTAACAGGATCTCATTTGCCTCACAGTTTGGACTGCGATAGACCAAACCAATCAGCAGCTCTTGTCCCTTGCATTTTAAGCGAAGACTAACTAATTCACACGTCCCACTCTCATGGGATACACTATCGATAATGGTAAATGGGATAGCATTCCTAATGAATAGAGCTACTCCCCCTCCTTTGCGCTTTTGTGTTCTGTCGGCACTTACTAACGTAAAGCCCTCGAAATCAAGTTCTATACTATCTATAGCCTGTGTCAGCCAGGTTTCTGTTACTGCGATTATATCTGGCTTTATAGAGTCAATCTGTACACCTAGTTCCGATCGCTTATTAAGTAAGCTTCGTGCATTGGTGTAACAGATCCGAAGCCTGTTTAGGTGCCTTCGTGCTTCACCCAGAGTGGCTTCGGCATCATTCTCTGTCGAAGTCTTACAACCCGAAAATTTACAATTTTCAGGTCCTTTTCGCCAGCGTCTAACCTATGTTGTAGTTCTTTCTCGGCTTCCCGTCTTTTAACATGGTCTGCCAACGGTAGGTCCTTTCGGATAAAGACTCCCGAACCCTTTAATTTGTGTCCATTTTGTAAAATTAGGTCACGTTCGTTTGAAGAGCCGAATACTACTTTAAGCAGTCTGGAATGATTTGGTTTCGAGTCCGTTAGACTCCCTAGTCTATACACCTTTAGCAAGGTGACCCCAGTCATATTTTGAGGCATGAGTTGATTAAGCAGCTGCCTAATCAGTACAATGTCATGCTCAAAACGAGCTTTAGGTTCAGAGCTATCGCTCTCCTTAATTCTATGAAAAATAGCTGATCTGTCGGTATGATCAGCTTTCGGTTTTTCAACCACTTTTACGGGGGCAGGTTTCCCTTTTATATCAATACTTTTCTTCCTTACAACCTTTACCCATTCGTTAACGCTGCTGGTAGAAGCAATAGCAGTTGCGTCAAAACTAGTGTTGGGTTTTGGGGGGTTGTCGACGACCTGAGGGGTCGTGTTATGTTTACCATTTGAAACCGATCGAGCCTTGCGATTGCGGCTCCTAGGTGTTTCCTGTTGGATCCCATCTGGGAGACGGGGAACAGAAGACCCTACTTTCCTTGAGCTTTTTTTTTAAGGCAGACCCCTTTGGAGACTGCTTTTCCTTCTTCGACGGGCGTGAGTCATCTATCACCGGACTCACCTTAGTTTCCTTCACATTGATTTGCGTGTCAACGGATCGAGTGCTGTTTGACGCGTTCCGACTATGCTTGTTGAAACACTTCTTTGCAGCATCAACCAGTGAGATAGCCTCGGTTAACAAGCTGTTTGCATCCGAGCAGCACTGTTGACAAAGCCACACACAACCCTTCTTACTGAACCGTTTGAAAGCAGCAGGCGTTAAGTTCGTGCAAACTTCGTGGTACCAGCCTTTGCACTCGTCGCACTGCATGCCGCTTTCAACAGGATAACGACAACCCGGACGTTGGCAACTGCTTTTTTTTACACTGTCCGGTCATTTAGGAGGGGTTTTTTCAATATGCGATGATACCCAGAAACAAAAAAAATTATCAATTACCAAAAAAAGTGAAGAGCTGTAGATTGCTAGGACCAAAAGTACTAACAGATACAGTTGAAAAAGTGGTACTAAAGAGTACCAACAACAAAACCGTAAAAACGATACTTTAGTCGAATACTTTAACTGAAATAAATTCAATTAAAGTGAAAAACAGTAGTCTTGATACGTAATAAACGATCAAAACAATGAAATTTACTCAGCGAGGAAAAATACCACTGTCCTTTTTAAATAGCGCGGCAAGTTTTGTAACCATTGACAACCACATCACCGGGCATTTGAACTAATGGAAGGCAAAGTTAGCAAAATCGGTTTAGAAGTCCCACTCTGCAATTATGTAGCAAGCGATAAGATCTGGTAAGTCTTAGCAGTTGCCTGATGTTTTTAAGGCGCGATAACTGCGTTAAGGAGGCGAGCGCATCTAAAGCATGGTCCAAGAATTGGAGCTTCCTTACTTTAACCCCCCGGGAGCTTCTAAAAGATGAAATCCACGAGCTGATAGATCCGAACAGAAAACCGGTTGAAATCCCGCAATATTTGAGAGTTGCCGAAGCAGTACCTATCTCAGCCTACATAAAAGTGGAACCTTCACCGAAGCCCATCCCACAAACAACAAGTAGAATGATTGGATGGAGATCTGGACTGCCCCAGTATAAACTGGACAAATATGAAGTAGCGAGAAGACCTCAAGGCTCGCTTCTTAAGCGGTTTAACTGGCCAATAGAAGCTTTATATTGATGTTAAAATTGACTGAGGTAGAGGATTGGAAGCGCCAGTCTCATAAGTCCCTGAGACAGACATGTAAAAAACTGTCCTTCGTACGTAAAAGTAACATGCTTCCACTTTTTCTAGTTCAAACCTGACACTGAGGCTTAATTAAAATAAAACTGCTTCTATGACAGATTTTTGATGTTTCTTAGATGTGGGGACCTCGTCTTTTAAAATAACTCATTGAAGTTTGACATAAAAGCTTAAGTCAGACTGCTCTTTGGGCTACACTTTTTAGTTAATTCCAAGAGAAATTATTGACAGATTAACCTATATGTTCCATGCGGAATATTATGAAGTTACAATCTAAATGGTAATTAGAACCTTATTTTCATTCTGAGGGAGAAAGAGCAAAACACATCGTTCAATTATTGACAAAGTATTCCATACGTTGAAAATAGACTAAAAGCATGCAGTTTAACCAGACGAAAGCTCATAAACTTTCAAAACGTTTATTTACTCCAAACTTTATGTGATATATCAATCCTGTATTTAATATGAACACCAACTAACTGTACTCAACAATAAGCTTTATTTAATAAACGTATAATATGTATCCTAAGACTGTCTCAAGAATAAAGCTGAATACATAGACACCCAGCGCAGCTTAAATCCTGAAATATCTTTTTATCGTATGAGTATAAAGCAAAGTTCAATGAGGCACATTAAAAAGAGGATGCACCATAGAAATCTTATATCTTTAAGCCTCATTTGTTATGAGTAAATACTAGACTTCGCAGTTAGTATTCGAAAATGATATACTGGCCACTTCAAAAAAATGAAATCTCATGACTTTATTGACAATACTGATTCCAGCTGAAGTATACCAACATCACAAGCTTGCCAGATATCTCGAAATATGAATCCAACGACTTGCCCTTAGACCAGAACAAACAGAACTATCCGATTGCTTATATGTAATATCAAATAAGTAAACTTCTGTCAGACTTTACGGTAGTTATAAAAGAAACTACTTCAGATACGTCAATAGGACAAATAAACCATGCTTCTCAAAATTCTCTTACATAAAGGATAGGTTGATATGGGTTTACATATACAAAGATACTATGTGACATGCATAATTCCATTTCCATTATTGACTAAGTGATAAATGGAATCGCTTCTATGTTTGAATAGTGTATTCTATGCCATTCAAAACCAAAATATTTAACATATATAATGAAGGAGCATGAGGATAATTGATCTCTGGAGGTTATCCATAGGGTTCAACTGTACTGAGAGTAGGGCAGTTGTAGCAGATAATCATTATTTTGAATACTATTCCTATATAGTACAATTGGATTAATTAGTACACGAGAAACCCTCTTGTCCAACAACACCTCGGCTAACTACAACACATGTATATGACAAAGAAATACATAATTTGAAGGATATATTTACATGATAATTTATGTCAATCTGTAAAATACTATTAGCTCTTTCAAACTTTTTTGGAAGCACATGAGATGATCGGTTTAGGTCGTGTTTTAAACAATAATTTACGCCGAATAACAGAAACGATATCATACTGTAAGCTTCCCGATGTGGTGTTTCTTTTTGTGACAAGCATAGGCTTTTCAAGAGCAACTACTTTCCCGAAAAGTACATGATGACCAATAAGGAGAACTGGATCGCCATTCTATAAAATGAATATTAAACAGGATAGAAAGAAATAATTAACTAACCTCTTGTGAAAAATGAAGATCGCCTAAATTTTTCCCTGCTAATGGACTATTTGTTTTACTCAAAACATCACCTTGTAACTCAATCATTAGCCATTCACTCACTTCTCCACTAGAAAATAATACTATAAAAAGATTTGTATGATTTACTTTGGTCCATGGATAGGTATAATCATATTCGACGGAAAACTTGATGGTTCCTGAAACACAGAATCTAATCGATTAAAAAAGTAGTAGTCAGGGATTTATAACTGAAAATTCCCAATAAATCTAATACGTATATCCGCTAAAACACATTCATATTATAAAACTCTACTGCAACTTAGAAGTAATACATAGTATGTGAAGGTGTAGTTATTCCAACTAAACATCGGTCGTGAAACAACGTAACACCTTAGTGGTTAAAGTTGACACAATCTAGAGTGCATTGAAAGGTTAGCAAAAACTAAACTGATACTAAATATTCTTACGACGATTTTAAGAATAATTGTGAGCTAAGAAATTCAACAAGATGCTAATCGAAACCTAGACACCATTCATAGTGAAGTTATTCAGACTCATGTGCTGACCAAACCACCATGAGGCTCTTTTTATCTGTTTGAACTAGCTAAAGTAGGTCGTAGTGTGACGAACCTTACATATGCTATTTAGTGTATGCCCATAACACCAAGTACTTCACAATTCAACCGGGTTTATATAGACTCAATAGATATGTTCCCAGTACCTCAGTCAACGAAAACTAGACGGGAATCTGGAATCCATCATGATGCTTCTATTAGGTTTTATGCAATCTACGAATGATTTATTAGTATGACTAAATATTTTCCACATACGATCAGCCAAGATTCTGTCTTTTGAGGAGAAAAAATTAACGAGCGATTGTACCGTTTGGTTCAAAACTTCATAAAACATTATTAATTTGGGGTAACCACTGAGTACCCTTAAGTAAATGGTGTAATATATTTTAATTAAACGATTTTTGAGTAAGAATGTAAACTACTAAAAGTCGAGAGGTGAGACCTACTTATGGCTAAAATTTATGAATATAGTGAAATCAAGAACCACTAACAAACATATAGATATAGCTACACAAGATAATAGCTCTCTATGAGGTTTTTAAGATTCAGCCTTTAATAAACCAACCTACAGTATCATTATACACTTCAATATCAAACTACCATACGAGATACAATTAAAGATGTTTGGTGTCACTGATCATTCTTTATCGCCGACCACTAAATGTGAGACCTGTATTAACTGCTCACAAAAGTAACCAGACCTGACAAAAAGACATCAAAAGGGCATTATCGAGGTAAAATAAAGCATGGGATTCGAAATGACAGTGTCATTAGGAGTCAAAATGTAAGACTGGAGATAGGGTCTAAAAGAAACGAATTAAATCAACAACGAAAATAATAAACCTCGAGATTTGTGGGAGAGTAAAGAAAGAACATAGCTATGACATTAGGGCCTGTGTTGGGCCGTTTCGCCAATCAGACTAACAGTCAACTACTTTGACGATTGATGATGTATCCGTTTGGCTATTATCAGTCCTCTTTCGATTTGCTACTATGATGTCCAGTCTAATGTGATGTGGTACGCGATGACTAAATATGCGTGAAAAATCCCTGAACGGATAATGACTGGATATCTAGAGCACCCAGAGTCCAACCACTAAATAGCAGGTTCCAAACTTACAACACCCACTTGGTTTGAGCTGCTAGGTATTCTTACTACCTCTCACATAAAAAACATCTAAGAGCAGAGTAAATATACTTATATTTGATAAGTGAATTCTTAAACACTTTAATCAGTAAACGTTCATGATCTCATGAGTCAATTCATCATATCTCGTAATTTACATTAGCACGAGATGATCAGTGGTTACATTTCCCGTGAAATATCTCAAAAACATATCAACAATTCAAGAAAACTAATGCAGGTATTCTACTTTCAGAAGTAATGTTTTGAATCCTGTCAGAAACAACCCGTTCGAATTTACCTACCTTGTTCATTGACTACATTTCTCTGACAAGTAATTTCAACTTTAGATTATAAATAAGGCTTTAAGGGAGGTCTCTTCATAATTCAAATAGATAGACGTAAACAACATGAGATTTACTACATACTATTGTTAACCACTGTTGAAAATTCAAATAAATACACCTTAAAGAAACTAACAAATAAATGAATATTCAATTCTTCCTGGACATCAACTTTCTTGTCTATTGTATAAGGTAGCATGTGATCATGCCTGTTTGCTGAACAGTTTTTTACAAGCAATGAACATCCGATTTTTATTTTACTTATTTTAACATATAGATATTGGTACAAGGAGGCACCAAATACATATGACCCACACAGATCTCATTTGATATGTGTGAGGGTTGTGATACTGCCCAGATACCCAAATCGAAGCAGGTAGTCTTCTTAGGGGGCCACACCCAGGGCCTTCGACATGAAGGTCTGATCCACAAGGCAGTGGAGCATCGCAAGGAGATGCATTCCCATTGTAGCCGGTGACCAACAATTGGTTCATACGCCATTTGTTCCTTCAGGATCCTCGAGCCCATGTGCACCACTGGTTTGGAATCAGGGTTTTCCAACTCTTCTAGGTGGACTCTCCATGTCCACCAACCCGGTTGAAGCACCGGACGTCCGCTTTTCGTCCTCTCAATTTCATAGACAACACCCCCGCCACGAGAAGGCAGTGAGTAGGACTTCCCTGGCAGAGGCTATATACGTGTGGCCATGTGAGAACATTTCGACCGAGAGCGGACTCTCCCGACTCTCGGCCGTACCAGGGCATTTGGGGGCCATACTTTCTATGACAGCTAGCTACAACCTGTGCTTAAAATCTTACATATTTGTTACGAAAACGGGGATTCTACCATTAATTAACTGTAACTATGAGAATATATGTACTCATGAAGTTAAACACATAACACCAAATTCGAACGTATGCTAAAATGAACTGGTGCTCAGTCGTTAGCAATAGCGTCCTCTAAAAATAACGTTCTTCAGTAAACTAAATTGAAAAAACTACTTATTCATACACTTAACTAACCAATGCAATCAAACAATACAGACATCAATGAAGTTAATTGTTGAATAAAGTCAAATTAATTTTAACTTGGGGATATGAGGACCCAACATTATTTCATGGGGGAGGATGAACCCAGAAGATTTTAAAATGCAGATATGAACTCCGGATCTTTCAAAAAAAGGGGAGGTGTTAGGATAGTCGGAAAAATATACCAATAATTATCGTGTTAAGTCTATGGTGGCCTTGGACCTTAAATGTACATTTCCTATTGGTCGATGTTCACTTCACTTGTTAAATATTTTGTAAATGTTGTTTCCTATTTTATGGTACGATGTGGTATGCTTGATTAGTATATAAACAAAGTATGTTTGAAATATAATAATTCATAACCCAGAGGCTGTGACTTGCGTTCTTGACTCAACTGGCTGGGACAGACAGCGAAGCAGGGCCAATCAGGGCACTAGGTCGTCCTTACGTGTTTTCCGTGTCACTGTCACAGAAGCGATCGATAAATAAACGCTGCTTATCAAAAACCTGCAGTCCACACCCGTTACAACATTAATATACATTAAAGCCCCGATCTTCTTTACGTAAAACATTTATATAGCCCAAACTTTGTAAATACTGTATAAAATATCTTTTTGAAAACCTGGAACACCAATAAAAGCTTTGTTCCTAAATGAATCGAACTTTAAATCAGAATCTCAGAAAAAAATAACACTTGTGCAAAGGTTATAGAAACACACGTTCTGAACCGTGCACATATATTTATTGATCAATGTATAAATCGATTTATACATTTAGGTGAATTCATGTAAATTATCATTACTCAGTAACTGAAATGACCGAGTGTAAGGTAACTGGAGAAAGAACTTTGAAGTTACATTGAGAAGTTTTGGACCACAACACTGTAAGATTTTTACTGCTCATGAGGGATGAATGGATGATTTGTTAGTTCTGTAGATAAGAGAAATCGAATTGAAAAACACATATCATCCGAGATCACAAAAACCTAAAAAACCAAATTTTGGTAAAAATATATACACCTTCCCCAAAATTGGTTGTATAGCACAAGAAACTTGTAGTTAACTCTATCGATACGCAAGGATACTTTCACGACATTGGAGACAAAACACAAAAGCGCAATCGAAGAAAACAAGAATATGTATGTACAAATCTAAACTTGTAACTACTCATTGCTGTTCTATAGGTGAAATATTCAGTATTAACAAATATAACCGTAAGTAAAGCTTCATGTAGATAGTTGCTTAAAAAACTATGGCAGTTAGCGAGCGTTGTAGTCTTTCGTGTCCATTAAATTTCAGAATTTGCAGAAAGACTACATTGCTTCGCAATAGTCAAACAGCCATTTAAAAAAGACATTACCAGTGAAACACTTTTTATGTTTAACTTGGTTTTCAATGTAACTTTTTTTTACCATGCTCTGATTTTATAACTTTAATGTAAAACTCTCTAAGTGAACGTTTTGAAAGCCCGTCCGACTTCATATGCACATTCGTATAGACATATTGTTAATTAATAACCCATAACCTGTTCTTTCTTTTGTAGATCTTCATAAGTTACGATAGGACTTGGCATTTACAATGGAAACCCATAACGATCGTTGCTCGGCATCTGTGTACTACTCATAATGTTGTACAATATGACGATTTTTTTGTCAATAAGTCTCTTGTTATGTCCCGACCAGAATAATGAATGGTAACTGTTGGGATCTATTTATGGAATAATACTATCCACATATTTTTTTGTATAGTTGTTAAGTGACTAACCTATGTATATTTACATTTCTCATTATAAACTTTATTTTGACCTATGAGATATTATTATACCATTTACTATTCTTAAGTTTTGCCCAGTTTATTAATTACAATTTCCTACAATTACAGTCACACTTGGCTATATCCTGTACAAATGTTATTCCCTATTATGTAGTGTAATGTGGTCTGTTTAAATTGCATACAAACCCAGTATTTATTGAAATATATGATTCACATCGCGGAGGCTGAGATTTATGTTCTGAACTCAACAGGGAGGGCTAAGCAGTAAGAAAAACCGACAAGAACTCTAGACTGCTCGTACAGGTCTATGTGTCACTGGGCACAAGGCTAT